CTCCTAATGCCTAGACTCAACCCTCTTTCCCGACACCAGGCTGCTTGGTGGATAATACCTATACTCCTTGCCCCTCCTTCACCAACAAACCAGAACTCTAAGATTCCTAGTTGGACTGGAGCCCTTTGTGCATTTATGCAGGACAGCCAGAGAATCATGGAATATCTATATGATAAAATTCATGCAGTCATTAAAAATGTATGTTTCTGAAGATTTAATAAAAATATATCAGGTAAAATATACATTACATATACAAAACAATCTTTATTTTGGGAGAGAACAAAGCTGCATACATAGAGGAAAAATGGAAAGGAAATATACCAAAAATGAAAAGTCCGGATGATAGGCTCACAGGAAGTTTTAGTTTTCTATTTTTAAATTCTGCAATACATCCAAAATTTCTATAATAGATAAAAAATAAGGAAAAAAGTAATCAAATAATGTGAAAGCAAAAATTTTAAAATAATGTGGTGGTTTGGGGAACAAAACAAGATGGGTTTTTACTAAAGGTAAGTATATACGTGATAACAGATAACACCCTGATAGGTTATCTGCCTCTTTGATGTCCCCTTAGACAGACTGGGACTCCCCCTCCAAGAGTTGCATAGACAGGTGTTGTCTCACCCACTCAGAGGCTACTGTGAGGATCAAATGAAATCAACTGAGTGGAAGCCTTTTGAAAGGCATGGAACTCCCACACGAATACAAAAATAAATACAACAGATACAATGAACTTTCTAGTAGGGGCCACATAAAACATTTTGTAGGCTCTGAATGATTTCGTTATTTGGTTTAAAAAACAAATTGAGACCAGTGCAGTGGCTCATTCCTGTAGTCCCAGCAACTCATGAGGCCGAGGTGGGAGGATCCATTGAGCCCAATTGTTTGATGCTGCAGTGAGCTGTGATCATGCCACTGCACACTTATTGGAGCAACAGAGTGAGACCCCACCTCTAAAAATATAAATAAATAAGCAAATAAAATAAGACAAAAAGATAAAGTAAGAATAAAGCACAGAGTAATACATCTTACTTTCAAAGCCATGGATTCGCACTTCTCTTCCAAATGTATGCCCTGGGAGGTCTCCAGTTAAGCAAAAGAAATCTGCACGTTTCCAGGGTCAGGGCCAAGGCTGCAGGGCTGTTATTGCTTGCCAAAGACATTGCTTTCCAAGATAAGGGTGGCTGTGTAATTTTAGAATAAATTTTTCTTTTTTAATGGCAAGAGGGCTGAATTATTTCATGAGTTTAAACCAGATCTCATAAAATCTATCTCCAATTCCTCCATGCCATCAGTTGCTCCCTTTAACATTTAAATAGTCTCCTTTTGAGGGCACGTTTGTGAAGTTTTCTTTCTCCCTGATAGACTCTGTACCTTTTTCTCTTGTAAATTCATCACCACCCAGTCTATAGCTGACAGTGGTGCAAAATAAATGCAGTAAAACAACTCCCAAGGTTTCAGAACGATTAAAAAGGTTTTACAAGGGAATTGATGAGTCAGGAATAATATGCCAGCTGAGTTTTTATTCTGAGTTACAATATACAAAGGGGCTTTGAATATTTACACTCCCAGCTTTTACGGAAATACTAGGCACATTTCGAAAGCTCATATTTATTTTTAGAAGAAAGGACAAATTAGGCTAACAATGAAAGCAGGCTGAAAATTATGTATAAGTCAGAAGCATATATTAATATTTAGAATGAGGCTGAATACTTGTTGGCCAGATTCACTTTCTCAGTTTTGCATTTTTGGAAAGAGAGGAAGGAAAGTGAAGACAAACCATCTAGTTGGAGGCATGAAAACCAGGCTGTTGTTTCTTGGGCTGTGTTGTTAGCTGCTTCTTTCTGTGGTTGAGGAAAAAGTAGTAATTCTGAACTTCATTTCTGTTATAATCATTTATTTTTACAGGTACCATATTCTACTTGCAGAAAAACAGTTATTTTCCTTCAATCCAGGGACATGCCTGTAGTGTTTAACACTTATTATCAGAAAATGACTATAGTTATGGTCAGTGGGCTAGATACTGCAAGACTGATGAATTTGAAAAAATCAACTTACACAACAGAACTAAAACGGGTGAATATAATTTTCCACAACAAGGAAGTAAAATGCATGATTGTATAAGGTTAAGAAGTATAAAAAATACGCTGTTACAGTTAAAATAGAAAATCTCAGTAGACTGTCTTATAAACTAGCCAGTACTCAATGTCATGATTCAGAATAAATAAAAATATGACAAGAAAGACCCATTACCAAATCTCATCTGATGTTTATGGTCTCAGTGTCTTCAGGGAAGCTAATCACTTAATATTCCCAAGGTTTCTTTCTTCTCTTATATGACAAGATGCTAAAGGCTGTTATCATTCTTGGTATTTCAAAACAATTGCGTCAATAGTTTAAAGTTTCTCATTCTCTCCATGTTTCTGAAACCAAAAAAACTATAGCTTCTGGTTTTACCCTAATTTAAATCTAAATTAAATAATCAGGGGCCTGTATATTCATTTTTTACATATATGTGTGTGGGATGGGCCTTCCTAAAGTCAATGGAAAAATCAAATGAGAAGATAAAACTTAAAAAGAATAAACTTGACTTCTTAATATAAGCTCCATTGAGTTCATTGCTTTCTTTTGTAAGCAATGATACCAGGCATTTAGCCCATCCCTAAAGAACTGGGGGTCCTGGAGATTTAGCCATGTCAATGCAGTCTTTTTTACATTATTAACTGAAAAATCATGGGTGCCCTTCATAGATTTTTTAAGATTATGAAACAGAAGTCAGAAGGAGCTAAATCAGGACTGTAGAGTTGATGCCTAAAGACATTCCATCAAAACTATCACAACATTGCCCATGTTTGATGAGAGGAATGAGCAGGAGCATTGTTATGGTGGACAAAGACTTTCTGGTGAAGCTTTTATGGGTGTTTTTCTGCTAAAGCTTTGGCTAACTTTCTCAAGACACTCTCATAGTAAGTAGATAGTATCAATCTTTGGCCTTTCAGAAAGTCAACAAGCAAAATGCCTGAGCATCCCCAAAAAACTGTTGTCATGGTCTTTTCTCTTGATCTGTCTGCTTTTGCTTTGACTGGACCATTTCTATCTCTTGGTAGCCATTGCTTTGATTGTGCTTTGTTTTCAGGATCATACTGATAAAGCCATGTTTCATCTCCTGTTACAACTTTTTGAAGAAAAGTTTCAGGATCTTGATCCTACATGTTTAAAATTTTCATTGAAAGCTCTGCTCTTGTCTGAAGTTGATCTGGGCACAATACTTTTGGTACTCATTGAGTGAAAGGTTTGCTGAACCTTAACTTTTCAGTCACAATTATGTAAACTGAACCAACTGAGATGTCTATGGTGTTGACTATTGTTTCTGCCAGTAATTGTCAGTCCTTTTCAATTAGGGCATAAACAAGATTAACTTTTTTATTTGCAAATTGATGTGGATGGTCTGCCCCTGAGGACTTCATCTTTAACACCATCTGGTTCCTTCCTAAAATGAGTTATCCATTTGTAAACTGCTGATTTCTTTGGGACATTGTCTTCATAAACTTCGAAAAAAAATATATGATTTCACCATTCTTCCACCAAAGCTTCACCATAAGTGATGTTTATTCCAGCTTCAATTTTGGTAGAATTCACATGGCTCTGTTAGGGGCTGTTTTCAAACTGATGTCTTATCCTTCTTGGTGCCTCAAACTAAATCTTCTTCAGACATACTATAGCAAGTTAGTATGAGTTTATTTTGCTTCAAAAATTTTTTTGAAATCCATACATAATTTTTTCATAGTATGCATTTTCTGTTAACATATTGAAGACCCCTCGTGTGTGTGTGTATGTGTGTCCGCTCGCGCATGTGTGTGTGTATAAATATATATATTTGAGTTCTACATTGTTCTTACTTCTAACTCAATTAGGGCTCATTAACACGTTTCTGCTATCATTAGAATCCAGAGAAATAACCTGGGTGGAGACAGCTAGCTAAGAACAGGGAGCTGACTGGCTCTCTGTATTAATGCTCTAGTAAATAAAAAATTTTCACAAACTTAGCTGCTTAAAACAACACCAGTTTATTATCTCACAGTTCCGTAGATCAGAGGCCTGGGTGAGCTGCACTAGGTGTTCTGCACAAGGTCTTACAAGTGTGAAGTCAAAGTGTTAGCAGAGCTGTATTCTCATTTGGAAGCTCAGTGGGAGAAGCCTGCCTCTAAGCACATTTAGGATGTTGGCAGAATGCAGTTCCCTATGGTTTTAGGACTGAGGTCCCTGCTTTCTTGTGGACTGTTGGCCTGGAGTTGTTCTCAGCCCCTAAATGTCACTCTCAGGTCCTTTTCATGTGGCTTCCTCCACCTTCAAAGCAGGCATTTCTTATGCTTTGAGTTGCTCTGACTTTCCCTTCTACTACCAACTGGAGAAAATTCTGTACTTTTCAAGGGCTCATGGGATTTGGTTAGGATCACCCAGATAATCTCCCTTTCAATTAACTTAAGGTCAGCTGACTAGTTACCTTAATTATTAATATATCTGCAAATCCCTTTGCCATGTAACAGCACATAATCACAGAGATGACATTAGGGGACCAAGATCATGACAGACATCTTGGATTTGCCTACTGTGCTCTCATAGTTAAGAGACCCAAGAATTATAATCATCTAAGAGTTGGCTTATGACTGTGAGCTTTGTCCTTGTGCAGCAGTTCTGTCATTCAGAGATAGGATGCTCAATGTCTCCTACACTTTGGCCTGAAGCTAGCGTCATTCTCATTCTCTTTGCCCTTGGTCCAAAGCCTCATTCTGGGTCTGAAACTGCTAAGCCATCACTCACGGTTAACAGAATACCTCCTGTGAGTCTACTCCAGGGAAACCTAGTTCCATGTCCAGGAAAAGTGACACTTCGTGTGATGGCTGACTGACAAATACATAATATGGCTGTGCGCTCTGGCTCCCTTAGCAGGCTGAGTTTCTGCAGTGAAGGTCACACCTCTGTTTCATGTTTTATTTCAGACTTGCAGGGAAATGACATTAAAGTCACTGCTGAGAGCACTGGTGAGCATGCCTTCTCACTACCGCTACCTTTGCATCAGCCACCTCATTGGATGGACGGCCTTCCTGTCCAACATGCTCTTCTTCACAGATTTCATGGGGCAGGTAATGAACGTGTCTGTGCACACACTCACTGTTACACATCATTTACTCCATTAATACCTGTTGAGGTTCTTCTGGGTTATCCTCTAAGATTGGCATAGTAAGAATGTAGGAAAGAGTACCATCAAGAAGCTGGCTTACACACAGGTCTAGAAACATGCCACTATACGCTGGACAACTAGAGGACACTACGAAGCCTGCCAGTATTTAATCAAATGCAACAATTAGGGCAAATTGATGTGAGCCGTACCAATCATGGCAGGCTTCAAGAAGGAGGGGCAGGGCTCAGGCTGGGCATGGTGGATCATGCCTGTAATCTCAGTACTTTCAGAGTCCAAGGTGGAAGAATCATTTGAGGTCGGGAGTTCAAGCATGCAGTGACCTATGATTGTGCTGCTGTACTCCATTGTGAGTGACAGAGCAAGACCCTGTCTCTTAAAAAATAAAATATAATAATAAATACAAATAAAAAAGTGCAGTATGGTCTGGGCCTTGAAGGATTAGTAGGAGTTAGAGGAGTATGAGAGAGGGAGAAAACATTCCAAGCAGGAACAGGAATGGCCCATGTGAAGGTGAGTCAGAAGCCGATTGACTGTAGCAGAAGATGAGTGGTGGGATTACCTAAGTAAGGTGGGACCAGCTGTAAGATGGAAGGAGGAATGTTAAGGATGCGAGAGAGTGTTACTGAGACCTGATGCAGCAAGCATTAGATTTTTGATAGGTCCTTGAATGAAGATGTGATAGGATGGAAGGGGCGACTTGGTCATGACAGCATCAGCTCTGTACTCTAGAAAGGGTCCCTCAGGCAGGGACATTTGCTCCCCAGGGGTGGAGAAGCAGAGTGCATGAGAATGGGTTCTTACTACATTGCATTTGTACCTCAACAGCCTCCAACCTCTCTTTCAGATTGTGTATGGTGGGGATCCCTATAGTGCACACAACTCCACAGAGTTTCTCATCTACGAAAGAGGAGTCGAGGTTGGATGTTGGGGCTTGTGCATCAACTCCGTGTTTTCCTCACTTTATTCTTGTAAGTCTCTCTCTCTCCTAAGGATGTCTTCTAAAAGTTTCTGGTCTAGCACAACTTGGATTTGATATTTCTATGTGTATTCTCTACTGTTTAAAATACCAGATTCTTAATAAATCTATGGACGTCAGGGAAAACTATTACCTTAGAAAGGACCATAGGAAGCATCCTTTTATCATCATGAATTCTAGGTGTCATTTTCCTCACTGATTACTTTGCACTTCAAGTTTCTCTGGGAAATAAAAGGGAATCTTTACAAGATGAAGTGTTAGATGGATGAGTCCCAGTAAGTTCATGTTCTACTGGAGCAAGATCGTTGGTGGCATTTCATAGACAGGCATATCAGATTTGTAGATGACACAGAAGAGAAGCGATGTTAACATGACAGGTGACAAAGTCAGCATGCAAATGACCTTAGCTCAGATGTGTAGCTGGGTAGATTATAGGAACACCACACCAGGATTGGGGACATCTGGCTTTCCTTCCCAGGTGCCAGCTTTTCTGAGCCTCTTAACCTCCACTCACCTAAGTTGCAGCTATAAAGACACTGAACAAAGGGATTTCTGCTACTGTCTTTGCATAAGTCCAAGTGGCTGGGCTACAACTCCACGGCATCTCATAGGCTGCATTGTACTTGTTACTGTGTGTGGATATCTCCAAGTTCTGTATACATTGAATTAAGTGAAAAGTCTGAACTGAAAAACATATGCAGTTCTCCTAATTATAAAGAGCTCTTCTTCTGCAAGATTGTAAGAATAACTGACCCCCAACTCAGGGCTCTGGGCTTTGGACAGGTCCAGGGGACAGCAGGGATATGGCCTGGGTGAAGGAAGTGAGAAGAGATGGGGAGAATCCCTGTTACCATTCTCAGGGGGACTCACTCTGTCACCGTCAGCCTGCTTCTTGTGGGGAGAAAGGGCGGATGTATGTGAAGGCCCCTTCCCCTTCCGTTTACCCAGCCATAGCACAGCAGGAAACCTGTCTCAAGATCTCTTAAACAGTGAGCACAATTGGGAAAATGGGACCTCATATAAACATGCAAGAAGTTGATGAGCCCAGTAATCACATAACCACAACCTTCATTATGTTAAAATTTATGATACTCAAATAGTAGTGCATAAAGCTTACATTTATTTAGCAAACTCTTTTCTTCCTCTTGGAGTATACAAACTAAGAAAAATTCCAGGAGGAAGATTTCAAGCACTTAAAATAGAATGAAAGAATGCTAGACTAAAAGGGTTTGGTAAATTTTCCATCTTAAGTCTTTCATGATTTCAAGGACTGAGGGGACTATTTACTACTACCCTCATTCTTTTTTTTTTTTTTTTTTTTTTGGTCTGTTTCTCTTCTTTTTTTAAGACAAAGTCTTACTCTGCCACCTGGGCTGGAGTGTATGGCGTGATCATGGCTCACTGCAGCCTCAACCTTCTTGGCTCAAGCAAGTCCCAGCCCTCTGAGTACCCAGGACCACAAGCACATGCCACTGTGCCTGGCTTATTAACTTAATTTTTTTTTTTTTTTTTGGAGAGACACGGTCTCCCTACATTGCCCAGGCTAGTCTCGATATCCTGGACTCAGTGATCCTCCACCTCAGCCTCCCAAAGTGCTGGAATTACAGGCATGAGGCACTATATCCAGCCCTACCTTCATCTTTGTAATTTTTTTTTGACCCACAAAAAAATGTGTCAATCTAAACTTCTTTTTCCTCAAGGAATCCCTACTAGATTACATTCCATCAGTCTTGTCTACATACATTTTATGCCATTTGAAACTTTAAAGCATGTTATTTTTAGGTCACTTCTAGTTAAAAGGCTTTCTAGTTACAAAAGAAATTATTAGTTGAATAGTTTTCCAGAGTTGTATTAATGTATAAATCTATTGGATCCCTACCATTGTAAATTCAAATCAACATTTTATTTATAAAATACCAGCCAACTCTGCTCTGCTCAAGGATTTTAGGGGCCCTCCATACCCAAAGGATAAAGTCAAATTCCTGAGCTTTTCACAGTTCGGCCTAGTTCATACTTTGCCCTCTTTCATTCCCATGTCAATTAACTACCGTCAGTGACCCACTATGCAGACTTTCTCATTTCTGTGTATTTGCTGCTGCTTTTAGTTTCTTCTACCTGAACTGCTCTTCCTACTTCCCCAACTAGACAACTTCTAATAATGGTTTTAAACCCAACTTAAATATTACTTCCTCGGTGAAATCATTCAAGTTTTCTTCTCCCTGCACCTCAACCTGCTCTGGGCAGAATCAATCCTTTCCTCTCCTTCCAGAGCTCATGATATTACCCTCTATCTTGGACTCATCACATAACATCAGGAGCAGATTCAGTTTCTATCCATGTGGAGGTTGGCAGGACAATCTGGCTGCTAAGGTGGAGAAAGATGATAGGGACTTGTTTCCAAGCTCCTTTTGTAGACAGTAGGTACACATATACCAATTAGAGTAACAACACTAGGTACTAAGACATGGCCAATTGTTCATACCATAATATACATTACTAGTCATAGCTGGTGCTTAAATCTATAATTTCCCCCCAGTCCTGAAGAGAAGCATTGTGTGATGATATGACTACCACTGGGTATCAGAACCATCAGAGGGCAATACAAGCTTGGCCCTGAAGTTCATTGAATTATCTTTGTGAATAAAGTATTCTTTGCCAGACTTTCAGTCTTTGTATTGAAGTTATTTATGTTTCCAAGTACCTCTTTATCCTACTTTGCCTTCTCTGCTGGCATACACACTTGGATAAGAGCATTTCCCTAATGGGTGTTGATGGTATCTTTTAGGTATTGAGACACCTTAGATTACATTTTCTATATAAATATAATTATTAAGCAAGCAGAAACTTATCTAGCTTTATTCTCATTTTTTTATTCTCAACCTTAACGACAGTCCTCCAGGCATGGTATAAGTTTAATAGAGGAAGCAATGTTGACCACTTGTCATTTTCAGAGCTTTGTCTTCAATCAATGTGAGACAGTGTTTAGTTTCATAATTGATTTGAATGTACTGCAAACAAGGTTACTTGTCTACAAGCTGTAAGTCCAATAATTATACGAATAGATATGGAAAGTTTCATTCTTGAATAGCCACATTTCAAGTATCTGTTATTTATCCCCTGATTCTTGTGTTCCAGGAGAATGGCACAGGGGAGAGATGAGGAATGTGTGAATTAAAAACAACCGATTAAGAAAGGAAGATAAAAGCAATTTAGGGATTTTTCTTGCCATTGTAGAAAACCTTGTAAAATGTTTTAAAGCAGAATTTTTCATTTTTAAAAATTAGCTCTACCACTATACTGATACAAACAAGCCAAGCTGACCTGCTAGAAGAGAAATCCAGTTAAGAGTCAGCTATCTCCAGCTCAGCCTGTCTTTGTTGCAATAGCAATAGCCACATTAATTGTATGTTTTCTACATGCTAGGCATTAGGCTGGGTGATTTCATGGACACTTCATCTCACTTGATCCTGGCAACAACTCCAAAAGATGGTTTTATTATTCCCAGTTTTCAGATGAGGAAACTGGGGTTTTGAGAAGTCAAGGAACTTGCTTACCAAGAGTTAGGGAGCCAGCAATGAGGAGATGCTGGGTGCTGTGGGAGCCCCTTACCAGCCTGGGAAGGATTGGCAAGTCAGGGAAAGTGTCTTCAGATAATTGCACATCCTTTACCTCTTTCTCAGGTGTGCAGAGTCCATTCAGGTGGGGGCTTAGATCATTCAGTAAATTTTGGTTGTTTCAATTTTCCCCAACCTGACATTGGGTCATAGGGCCAAGATAGGCCTGTGTTATTATTTTGGTCCTATAGGGCCACAGCCCAACTGATTCAGAATAACCCACACTTTTCTTGCAGCCCCAGGTTCCCATAGTTAGGTCAGCTTTTCTACCACCTTTTTGACTTCTTTTTGCTATCCAGCTGTCTGCTAAACGGTGCCAGACTCTTCTTTGTAGAAAAAAAAAATCGGCCTAGCAAGGCAATTTCAAGCTGTCCTTTATGCAAAGGTCTTTAAAATGGTTCCAAAAGCCAGCTGTTTTCAACCCACAGATAAGGGGATTCTTTTGTTCCTGGCTCTGTATCAAAGGACGTCCAAAAAAGTGAATCTTCAGAATAAAGGATTGTCTGAAATTGTTAAATGTTGTGAGACACTGCCAGCTGTAATTTCTCCCTCTCTTCTTCCCACAGACTTTCAGAAATTTTTGGTATCTTACATTGGATTAAAGGGTCTTTACTTCACGGGATATTTGCTGTTTGGCCTGGGGACAGGATTTATTGGGCTCTTCCCCAATGTCTACTCCACGCTGGCCCTGTGCAGCCTGTTTGGTGTGATGTCCAGCACCCTGTACACCGTGCCCTTTAACCTCATTACTGAGTACCACCGCGAGGAAGAAAAGGAGGTGTGCTGTCATTGAACCTCTGCCTTGGGTAACATTCAGACTCATCTGAAGGCTGGGGAGGATTTGGTAGCAATGTGTAGAGCAGAGCTGGAAAATAAGGGTTCTTGAAACGGCAACAGTCAAAAGCCCAACCAACTGCCATCATGATCTGGTACAGGCATGCCCAGGGCAGCCGAGCTCTCTGGTCCTTACTCTCAATCCCTGCTCACTTAGGGAGCTGTAGGGCAAGGAGTGTTACTCCCATTTTTCTGATTAGAAAAAGAAGGCTTGGTGAGGTGGGGAAACCAGCCCACAATTACACAGAGACAAAAAAGAGGGACCCAGGTCTTCTATAACCACTTCATAGGTCTCCCTGGTGCACCTGCAGCATTTCTGGATACCCACAATAAGGGTCTCCCTACCTGCAGAGGTGCATGGTAGAATTTCTCGTCATTATTTGTTGAGGGTAGGAAAGTCCTAGGCAATGGAGTCCAGATTTTAGTAAGTCAGACCCCATGTGCGAGAAGGAAAGCTGGAATCATGGGTGGTAATCTCCACTTTGCTGCCCTGAGCGGAAACTGCTCTGTTTAAACCTTGGAACTCAACTAGTGAACAAGCACCTAAGCAATGCCTATAACAGAGTTGGTATTTCCACTCTAAAATTACCACCTCTTCTTATCAAAATTGCAACTTTCTTCCCGTGAAAATAGGCTTATAGTTGTTCCTTAACTGGAGCAATGATATAAAAGCTACAGAGATAACTCCAAGTTTAATCCAGCTCAGCATGAAACTGCAAAAACACTGAACACATAAACATGAGACTATAATTCTGACCATGTTTTTCATCATTTGATCTGGCAGCAGGGCAGAGCCACACCAGGAGTAAAAACATTTCAAAAGAGAGTTGTGGCTTTCCTCATCCCCTGGCAAACATTGTCACCAAGGTTTTAGTGCATGACAGGGATGTTGCTGCTAATGGGATAGTTATCATAAAAAACTGTCCCTCCAAGGAGAGTGTTACATGGTACTGGGGGAAGAAAACCTATGCTTCAAGCTCAGAGACACCTGGATTCAAATCCTGCCTCTTTCACTTGGAAGCTGCGTTACACTGGAGATGTTATTTATTTGTTTATTAAGTAGCACTTAGAATGAGTTCATTTTTAAGTGAGATAATATATTCACAATGATATACAAAACTGCACACTGCGTGCTCCCTTTACCATTTACTATCTCCCTCCAACCCCAACGTGTTACCACTCTTACTAGGTTTTTTGTTAATCTTTCCAGCATTTTAAAATAAAAACCAAGCAAATGTAAATCTGTTTTCTTATTTTCCTTTCTTATTCGAAGATGAGAGTTTTTCAGCATAATGCTTTTTTTTTGCCTAATAGTGTAGGAAATCATCATTTAAGCTCGCAGATCCTCAGTTTCCTCATGAGGCAAATGGAAAGAATGTTATTTACCTTAGAGAAAAGCAAACAAGATAGTGGATGCGCTTAGCGTGGTGCCCCCTAGCACCTGACAAAGACTCAAAATATGATAGCTAGTATTATAATTGTTACCATGGGGGGAATGATAATAACATGTGCATCTAGGGAGGTGTTGAGGTTGAAATAAAGTAACAAGTAAAAAAAAACCCAGGCCCAGCACATAAGATATATGCCACAAATGACAAAGTTATCAACCAGTTCAGACCAAATATCAAATATTAACCAAACATTATATTAATCAAGTAGCAACCATATTTTAAAAGATTGAAATGCCTTTTAAAGTTGCTTCTCTTAAGGACATCAGCAATTCAACATCCTTCTTAAAATCTTTGAATTTTTAACACTAAGAAAGGAAAAGAATGAGATATTTATTAAGTATCCACTACATTGTATTGATTATGGCCCACCACTTGTTTTTGTACAGTCTGTGAGCTAAGAATTCCTTTTAATTGTTTAAATGATTTAAAAAACGTTCAAAAGAAGCTTAATATCTTGTAACAAGTGAAAATTACTTGAAATGAAATGCTAATACCCATCAGTATTCAGTTCAGTTCCACATCACCAATTCATGAAAATTGTGTAAAATCAAATGCTAATAGCCATCAATATTCAGTTCAGTTCCACATCACCAATTCATGAAAATTCCATGAAATCAAATGCTAATAATGTCCATTAATCTGTATTGGAAATGCAACTCAGCTCCACATTGCCCCTGCTTTTGTACTACAAGAGCAGAGTTGAGTAGTTACAACCAGGGCTGTATAGTCCACAAAGTCAAAGGTATTTACTATCTGGTTGGTCACAGAAAAGTTTTGCCGACTTGTGCCCTTAAATGACAGTTCTTTGTAGGTCAAATGGTGTTTCTGTGCTTCCTTTGCAGAGGCAGCAGGCTCCAGGAGGGGATCCAGACAACAGCGTGAGAGGGAAGGGCATGGACTGCGCCACCCTCACCTGCATGGTGCAGCTGGCTCAGATCCTAGTCGGAGGTGGCCTGGGCTTTCTGGTCAACACAGCCGGGAGCGTCGTCATTGTGGTGATCACAGCATCTGCGGTGGCACTGATAGGCTGTTGCTTTGTGGCTCTCTTTGTTAGATACGTGAATTAGGTCAATAAAGAGACAATGACCCTAACCTCAGACACAGAGAAGCACATGGCAGGAAGTTAACATTTTCTGCAGCTCTGAATCTTAGGGTCTGCCCATTGGACGCCCAGTATTGTGATTTCAGCCATAGAATCTGCCCACCTCTCACTTTAAACCAATCCTCTGCACAACAGTCCCCATATTTCAGGCAATGTTTGTCTGGACTATGCCTCCATGCATTGGCGGCAGGGGTAAGTGTGGGTGGTAGCGCCTATACATGCCTTTCTCATTGCCTCTCAGTGCAGGGGTAGGGGAGAGGCAGGAGCTGCTTTTCACAGGGCATTGCAGGTCTTTCTGAGACCTAAGAAGCAGACAAATTCCACATATGATGCTTGGATGTGTTCTATGAAGTGATTTGATTTTTTTTTTAGCCGAGGGTCCATATATATTGGGGAGTCATATATTTCATCAAATTCACAGATATTCAAAATACTGCTAGTGATTTATTCTCTGATATTAATTTATTCATATTTAATTTGATCATAATTAATTCCTATTACTTTATGATACCCCTGACAAGTCCACTCAAACATCCATGCTGGAGGATTCATCACTTTAAAGTAGTTCATTTCATTGACACAGTAAAAATATTTCTCTCTAGTCTGCACCTTTGTTTTGTCCTCTGGATTTGATATAAAAGTCTTTCAAAAAACAGCCCCCTGTTTCTCCTATGATCTTCTCTTCTCCAAGCTAAGCAGTTTTTCTCTAATCATACCCCTTCCACTGCTTTCCCCATGATGAGGTTTTCAGCAGCCTGGAGAGGCAGCATGGTTTAATAAAAATCATGTTTTGGAATCAGCTGGTTTTGAATCCTGGCTTTGCCACTCAGCAGCAAACTATGTCATCTCCCCAAGGCACACTTGCTCATCTATACATTTGGGATAAGAATTGCTATCTCTGAGAGTTGTGATGATTAATAATACATAACATTGGTTCAGGCATGGTGGCTCATACCTGTAATCCCAGCACTTTAGGAGATCGAGGCAGGGGGATCCCTTGAGGCCAGGAGTTTGAGACCAGCCTGAAAAACATAGGGAGACACTCTCTCTACAAAAAATACTTTAAAAATTAGCTGGGCATGGTGCTGCATGCCTATAGTCCCAAGTTTGGGGAAGGTGAGGCGGGAGAATTGCTTGAGCCTGGGTGATCGAGGCTGTAGTGAGCTGTGATTGTGTCACTGCACTCCACCCTGGGAGACAAAGTGAGTTTTGGTCTCGAAACAAACAGAAAAACAAACATCAAAACACAAACCATGACATTTATGGAGTCTTTACCACTATTCTAAATGTTTTAACGTTAACACGGCAATTGTGGGAGTGGGTGCTGTTACCACTCTCCATTTTTTAAATAAAGAAATGGAGGCAGAAAGATATAACTTATCTGAAACCACGTAATTATTAAGTGACAGAGCTGGGCTTTGAACCCTGCCACTTTGGTTCTGCTGCTTCCTGTATAGACAACACTTAGCCTGGTGTCTGGCACTTGATCGGAGCTAGCGATTGTCACTAGTGTTAAAAGCTCATTGTCCTGTTCCCCAGTCTTAAGTATTTGCCTACACAACCCTGGATATACCTGACCAGTGCAGAATACAGATCTGCCCACATGTTTTCATAAGTTAGGAGAATTGTGTGGTTCCTCTTCCTACTTGATCTAGGGTCTGGTAGAGTAGTCATTGCCTCAGCTCAACTTGTAACTGACCAAAATCTTTGGTGCTGGAAGGGAATTTGGAGAAAGGAAATGAGCTGTTTTTGAGAAATGGGAAATTTGGGACTTGGTGTGTTGCTTCTGTGCGTCCCGTGCCTAGGAGAATAAGTGGATTCAGTAGCATGGCCAAGCCCCTGCAGTGTTAGCTCATTTGTAGCCACCCTGAGAAGCCTGCTCTGGTTGTTTCTTTGCTGGGCTTTGGGTCTTCCAGCCACCACACCGGCTTCTCACAGGAAAATTTGGGAGTGAATGTACTAATATAATACAGGAGGACCTGATTGGAAAGCAGAGAAAATGAGAAGGAGCAAGGCTTGGAGGCTGATAAGTAAAGAGCATGCTCAAGCCAGAGGAACAGCCTAGTTAGGTCTGGAAAGCACCAGCGATCTGGAGAGAATGGGTTGGAGACATCTTAGACCTGGATAAGGAGCCCTTCTCTCATTTTCTGCTTCCCGGTCAGATCCTCCTGTGTCTCTGCACATTACTGCCCTGCAGAATCCAGGGCAAGAGCAAGAATGGAGACACATGATCCACAGCCCATCCCTCTTCGCTGCTTCCCCCACTCTTCTCTCCTACCTGGGCAAGTGTAGAGTTCTTGTGTGCATGCTGGCATCAGCACATCCACAGTTTTCCACTTACGCCACCCTCTACCACTCCTGCAAATGGCAACCCTTAGCCACCTAAGGGTGGACAGACTCAGTGGCATGCAATTCCCTCTGGAGGATAGACTCAAGAAAGAACCCATGGATTCCTTGTAAATAGACTCAGGGCCATTTTGTGCAAGAAATTTCAAGGTCTCAGATGCCCAAGCATAATCAAGAAGGTGGGTGGACTGGCGGGCACAAACTCCAGAAGGCCCTATGGGTTCCTTGCCATGTGGGGAGGTGAAGGGCAGAGCAAGTCCTCTGTGATGACACCCAGACCAGGGGCCTGGCTGCCCAGGTCTAGAGACAGTATCTGCAAAGTCAGCCAGCCTAGGAGCACAGAGCCATTTGTTGTCATTCTGTGCTGCAGCCTCCTTCTCCTTCCCAGCCTCCCCACAAGGTTCTCCAAAGGCAGTAGCATCCCTGATATTTCACACGCACTCTCTCTCTCTTTCTGCTACTTGGGCTTCCACTTTGTTGCTGCAATTCTACAATATACCTGCTTTGTGTTTAAAGAACCCACTCTCTGCAGCTACCTGGCTCTTAGACCTGTGACTGAGGCAGTGCTGGTGGTGTGGAGCAAGGCATCTGAAACACCCCTGTGGATCTGGCCACTTCTGGGGTATATGTTGGGAGAACAATGGAGGGCAGGGGTTTATGCTAAAGTGGCCACTTCTTCCTGCCCCTGCTCAACCCGTCCCACCCCTGCAGGACATGTGGCTTCCCTTATCAGGCTCCTGCAGTGTGTGTCTGTCCACATTCTCTCCAGATCGCTGGTGCTTTCCAGACCCAACTGAGCTGAGACCCAACTAGGCTGTCTTCTCTGGCTTGAGCATGCTCTTTTACTTGTCACCCTCCAAGCCTTGCTCCCTTCTCATTTTTTGCTTCCCAATCAAGTCCTCCTGTATTATATTAGTACATTCACTCCCAAATGAAATAATCTCATTCCTTTTACAGAATATATACAAAACTACCACTTCTTCTTACTCCACCCTCCCATCCCCCCGCCATCATCCATCCTGGAGAAATAAGTTCATGACTCACTTAGGCCATCAGGGAAAACGCCTGCTCCCAACCCCATAGTGTTGGATGAGGATAAGTAAATGCTCAGGGAACCTCACAGCACATAGCTCTCAGCATTAGGAAAGAAACAGCGACAAGCCACCTCTCTTACTTTCCCTACTTGTACTTGGCCTCTGCAAGGTTTAGAAATGGAATCCTCTACGGGGTTCAGTGTTTATTTCCTGCCCATTTCTCCAAAAACTGTTCTGATGTGTGCAGATTTGAAATGAATAGATGGGCCAGCTGGAAAGGTGATCCATAGCTGAGGGCCATCTTATTGAACCCCCAAGAAGTCAAATGTAGTCATCCCTAACCAACCACAGGGCATACATGCACGCACGCGCGCGCACACACACACACACACAAATATGCAAATACTCATTGAACTCAGCTCCCTTGAGGTTTGAATGAATAAATATAATCCAATTTTCAAAGCCTTTAACCACATTTGGGAATCTAAGTATTTGTTCTCAGTATACCAATGACATATTCTTTCTGGCAAAAGAAATTTCCTTTCCCCAGACAAATAAAACTAGTACAGGGACGCATACTCTCAACAGAAATCCTGGGAAATCCTGCAAAAGAAGAGAATACCTACTACTTTGTTTCCTGCTTCTGATGTTCCCAATCAAGCATCTGACATTCCAGCATTAAAGCTTTTAGTCACCACATTTTATTAGTGTTGAATATCCTCTCTGCCTCCGAACCCACCACTGCCATTCTGCCTAAACCATGCCCATGTATCTAGACCTATCTCAAATATTATTTTGACCACAAAGTCTGATCTCCCAGCAGGATCAACCTTTCCTTCCTTTGTCTTTCTTTTTTTCAGCCTTACTTTGACATTCAGCTCATCATTGCCTGTCTTATCTTGCTTGTGCTCACGGCTGTCTGTCCTTTTACATGTGGAAGTCAGAAACATGTCTGGTTCATGCATATCACCTCAGCACCCTGCACACTGGCTGGCACACAACAGCCACTCGAAAACGAATTGTTGATTACAATTGATCTGACCATTTCCTTGGTGACCCTTTTGTCCTTGTGGTAGATCAAAGTCATGATCTATGATCCCTCCTGCCATGTTCTCAGAAGTCCTGTGTTTGAGATTTGGACAAAGTGACCCTTTTTATAGAGGTTATTTTTTTTTTCTATTCCTCCAGCTCCTTCTCTTCTGTTTTTCTAGTGCTCTTAGTGGCAGATGCACATACTTCAACACCCTTTCCTAAGACTTCTGAGCTACCCACATATTATTCTATTGTTAAAATTGAAATGGCAATTTGCTTTGATAAGAATCTCTCATTAAGAGTCTATTATCCAGTTATAGAAGGATCTCCTACTATGCAAATGTTAGTTTTTTCCCGTGTTTACTTTTTCATGTATTTTGTATTTTGGGGACTTTTGTGGAGCTTACATTTCACTCTTTGTTAGCCCAATTGCTATTCAATGTCTATATCAATAAATGTTCTTCCCAAAGGGTGAAAAAGAAAACACACGGTTCAGTTTTCTAAACGAGCTGACTTCACAAGACTGCTCAGAATCCAGACTGGCACCTTCTATTTTTGTGAGAAGCCATGAATGTTTAGTCATTTCAGTGTGTTTTGCAATCACAAAAAGCAGATCAGGGAAAGTGGGAGTTGTAGATCTCACATTTTGAGCCCTGAATCTCAGATACTGCAGAAAAACTTTTCACAACACTACTAAACAATTCTACTGTTCAAGAGGCTCTTTAAACAGACCTGTTTTTATGAATGGCTATTTATTATATTAAAACAACCACCCCAGTGGGTGCCTGCATCATTGGTTTCTTGACCCCAAACCAGGTTGCCAAAGAGAGTAGCAGTACCTCTATCAAAGCCAGCAGATGGGTGGGTAGACTGATGTTTGATCCCAGTTCTCAGAAGAGCCTCAAGAAAGGACTTTGTAAGGTTTAACATCTTAAGCTCCTGTGATCAGAACAGAGTCGACATGAGACATGTGAGGCAATCTTTAAAGACAGCTCCATAAACTGTCTGGAGGCTGGGAAAAGAATTTGTCATGCATGCTCAATATGTAAAGCACTCTTTAGAATAAATGAAAATTGGTGACGCTTTTGTCCGATGGGAATTGCTATTTCCTACCTTCTCTTGTCAATAATATAAGTAATAAAGAAACCTACATCTGAAATTCTGGTGATACCCTCAGAACAGTTTCTCCAGTACTCTGTTCTCTTTAGAACATAGTACCTGAACTTACTATTTTCTTTCCTACCCCACACCTCCGTTTGAGAGATCCGACCCAGCTTCTAGGAATTTGGTTTCCAAGACTCCGCTTCCCCTGCCCCCCGCCCCAATTCCCCTTGCACGTTTCTGCAGCATTTCTAGCTCTTCTATCTAAGCCTACCAGAAAAAAAAAAAAAAAAATTGCTGAACCATCCCTCTACTCGCTGGTCCAGGGCCTCAATCAAAGGAACAGCTTGATTCGCAAAGCGTGGGAAGGGAGGAAATGCAGAAGTGCCCCCACTCTTCCCAGTAGAGCTCTTCAAGATGCCTCTGGGCCCAGCTCACCGGCAGCACGCAGACCAGAGTGCCTACAGGCACCCAGCCTGCTCTCAGAGGAACTGGAGCGCCCGGGCTTCCTCCTCGCAACGCTCCAGCGCTCCACTTCCAATGCTGCTACCACGTGAGCATATGAGCCCCCTTTTACCTTTTGGGGCAGCAACCTGAATAAATTTCCTTAACCAGCCCTTCTAATTACACTGCGTCCGCTCCCTCCCTCAGTGACGCCACTCCTCAGAGAATCGCTCTCCCAAGCTGGTGACAGGTGTTATCCCCCTGCTAACGTCTGAGCTCCGGGGCTATGCAGCTAGGTCGGGCTCAGTGTGTTCCCGCTGGCCCAGTCCAGAATGATAATCGTCATAATGACTCCATGGGAGGTGGCTTTCCTTTGCCGTTTCTCCTGGGGACGCATCAGGATGGTCAGTTCTCTTTCTTAACTCCAAAAACGTGTCTTGCTTCCTAGCTCTAGATTCCTGGGGCAGCCCCGCAGCAAGTAGGACCTTGGGGTTGCTGCAATCTCATTAGCCAAGGCGCAAAGGAGACTTTGTGGCGGCGGCTGCACTCTCCGCAGAAGTCGCAGGAATAAACCGGCACAATTGTCTGCGCATCATTTGGCTAAGCCCCGCTCCCTGTGCCAATTTCTCTACGTTTTTGCTGCTTCTCTCCGCTTCTGGGCGCCTTCACACTGCCCAGCGTGGTAAGAGTAAGGAGAGGCTGTGGGGTGCGGAGCGGAGGTTGGCGGTCTGGCCTGTGGGGCTCATCTCTGCCCCTTTGCCAGCTTCCTCTCTCCACCTGATTTCGAAGCATCCCCTCTCCAGAGAAAGTCCTCCGGCCTATCCACAGGCTCCTCCTCCATGCTCTGTCCATCCTCCTCTCACCTACTTCTTAAATGCTTCCCCCACGCCCGACTCTGCCCCAAATCCTCCTTAATCCGTTCCCCTCCTTCACCGCCCAGGGAAGGCCACTTTGCCCCGACGGCGTGCCCTGGGCCTGAGGCCCGCGTCAGTAGGCAGAGCTGCTGGGCAGCAGGTCGTAGCGCCCCCCGCTGTAGACCACGACGCCAGGCGGGTAGTAGAGCAGGTCTGGCTCCGTGGCCGCGCGGAGTGGCGCCAGGGCCTGCAGCCCCTGATCCTCGGGCTCCGGCTTGGTAGTGGCGGCGAAGGGGCGCATGCTGGTAAGCGAAGGAGACGCGATGCGCCACAGCAGGCTCTTGAGCGCCTTGCGGAACTCGCGGCGCACCAGGCAGTAGAGGATGGGGTTGAGGCAGCTGTTGGAGTGCGCCAGGCACACGCTCACAGGGAACGCGTATACCTGGCACAGGAAATACTCCTGGCTGAAGGGCACTGCATTGAACTTGATGAGGATGCTCCAGGTGGTGAGCGCCTGGTTGGGCAGCCAACACAAGAAGAAGGACAGGACAACGATGGTCACTGATTTGGTCACCTTCGACAGTCTCCGGGCGCTGGCTCCGACCGGGCCTACTCTGGCTACCGCGTCCCCCCCTTCGGGCCCTGCCACGCGGCGGTCGGAGATGAAGCGCACCAGCAGCAGGTAGCACAGGCTAATGATGCCCAGCGGCAGCACGAAGCCCAACAGCACCTTCTGCAAGTGGTAGAGGCCCAGCCAGAACTGCCTGTCGCGGCCCAGCAACTTGTCCGGGAAGCGCACCAGGCACAGCTCCTCGCCCATCACCTTGACCGTGGTGGAGAAAATGGCATTGGGCAGCGAGGAGAGCGTGGCCAAAGCCCAGATGCACACACACAGCGCCTTGGCCGAGAAGCAGCAGCTGTCCCCCAGGCTCCGGCCGCAGCAGTCGCCCTGGCCGTGTCCTCGCGTCCGGTGGCTCTTCAGAGCCCAGGCCACCGAGTGGTAGCGTGTCACACTCATGGCAGTGAGGAAGAAGACGCTGGCGTACATGTTCATGGACGTTACCATGGACACGATCTTACACATGGCCTTGCCGAAGGGCCATTTGAAGTCAAGAGCGTTCTCCACCGCCCAGAAGGGCAGGGTGAGCACAAACTGAAAGTCCGTCAGTGCCAGGTTGGTGACGAAAAGGTTGATAGAGGACTTGCGCCAGCCCTGCATGTTCTTCATCAGGTAGAGCACCAGCAGGTTGCCCGCCAACCCCAGGGCGCACACCACCCAGTACACCACGCTGATAAGAATCCGCACCCGGGACTCGGTGTCCACGCTCTCTGCCCCGCCGCTGCCCGGAGGATGTCCTGGCGGCGCGCCGTCCGGCAACTCCAGCCCCAGCTCCCACCACAAGTCCGGAAGCTGCAGCGACGCGTTACCACTCGTGTTGGCCCCCTCCAGAAGGTCCGGGACCAGACTGAAGAGTTCTGCTAGCTTGTCCCCGCCTGCTGCCTTATTCATGGTGGCTATCGCGGCTGCATCGGCCATCTGCATGCGCAGGTACCTCTAGGTCGCGTTCTGGGGACGGTTTACGCCGGTGTTGTTCCCAGGCTAGCCTGCGGGACGTGCTTGGGAGCTTTCAAAGTAGCTGCTGAAGAGAGAGCCCAGGAACTGGGTACTAAGCGCGTCCTGCCGCGCAGCGAACCGCCCTGGACGCAGAAGTTGAGCTCAGCGGCTGCTTTGGAGCAGAGTTGAGGAGCGCAGCCCATAAGGGAAGCACTCGGCGTCCAAGGGTTCTCAGGCCAAGCTCGGAGTCCCTAGGTCCTTATGTACAACGCAGACTTCCCCTCTCCGTGTCCCGCGGTCACTGGGGCATTGGCGCATAACTCCCACAGTCGCTCAATTTTGCGATTTGGGGCCGCTTGCTCCCTTTCAAATACCTGTGTCGGTTTCCTCTGGGACTGCTTGGATGAGGTTTCCGTCCTTGGAGAGAAAGAGATCGTAGAGTTGCACCCACCTCGCTCTGTTGCCTGGAGGTCAGTGGGTGTCTGCGTCTTTCTGCGGTTGTCAACTCCGGGTGGGTTGCCAGCGGTGCTCACCAGTTGCAGTGGCACTTGCACGGCCGAGGCGGCGGGCCCCAAGGAGCATGCGTAATCCCGGGGCGCCGCGAGGGGCGCTTTCCGAGGTGCTGAACCCAGCCGCGCCCGCGCCGCGAGGGAGAGCGGAGTGGCAGGCAAAGCCCACCCGCCAGCTCCCGTTTTCCTTCCCAAAGTTTCAGCAGGAGCAGTCTTAAGCCTTTATTTTGCACCCGCAGGAGAAAGTCGACTTTGACGTGAGTTTCCTCTTTCTTATTCCCAAACATTATGATTAGAAGTTTTTTTTTCTTTCTTCCTCACTCCCACTTTATCACTGGAATTATTCCATTTGGTGAGAAATGGTTCCAAAAATATGAGCTATCCGGCTTACTTTCCTTCTTTAAAGTAATAACAGTGGCCTCTTTTCATGCTCAAATGAGATGATGGGTACTTATTGGATACACAAAGGAGAGCTCCACCTCCCAGCTTTAATTTGCTGACCACTTATGCAGTGCCTGTGTTTGTAAGGATTTTCAAAGGGTCTTCACATGGCAGAAATCTGGGTTCAAGGGTTGCCCCTACTTTAATGTATTCTGAGAGGTGACACAAAAACAGAGCGAATAACTGATGAGCCTACTTCACAGAAATTAAATGCCCTAGGCCCAAAGCGCTTCAACAAATTGTCTGATCACATACTGCCCACAGTCTCTTTACCTAGATGCAAATAGAATAGAGGATACCACCGGGCTGATCGTGAACCACCAGCCCTCCTATTTCCAGTACTGTTAGCATCAGGATTCTTTTTCAGATATTTTTCAGACCAATGGAAGTACATTCTAAGGACTCTTCTGAGGGAATGAGTGGAAACCATTTGAATTACTTCTCAAACTGCAGTCTACATCAATGCCAGGTCAATCGCTCTGATGTAAATTACACTTTTAAGGATTTACTTTAAAATTTTGAAATGTTTTCCCTTGGTCTGGGACTAAACTGAAACCAAAGTGTCTTAAGCATAATTGTCCTCACTCCTGGAGTACTACAGAACTCCCAGCTTTACTTAAGGAGATAAAGAGGATGCAACCTTCAAGCTGAGGAGATAAGAAACAGAAAAAGAAAGAAAAGAAGAGAAAATAAAAGGAAAGAAAAGAAAGAAAAGGAAAGAAAGAAAGAAAGAAAGAAAGAAAGAAAGAAGAAAGAAAAAGAAAGAGAAGAAAGAAAGAAAGAAAGAAAGAAAGAAAGAAAGAAAGAAAGAAAGAAAGAAAGAAAGAAAGAAAACAGAAAAAGAAAGAAAAGAAGAGAAAATAAAAGGAAAGAAAAGAAAGAAAAGGAAAGAAAGAAAGAAAGAAGTTGCTGTTACAGCTGTTGTTGTTGTTGTTGTTGTTGTTGTTGCTGTTGTTGTTGTTGTTGTTGTTGTTGTTGTTGTTGTTGTTGTTAAAAGAAAGAAAGAAAGAAAGAAAGAAAGAAAGAAAGAAAGAAAGAAAAGAAAGAAAGAAAAAGAATCTTGATTCCAAAGGACATTTAGCCCTGAAAAGAGCACACACTTTGCTACGGATGCTGCACTGCTCTGTCTTCCCACTAGAGGGAGTCAGGGCTTTAGTAAAAACCTAACCAAACGAAAACCATCTCCTTTGATCAGTTCTTATCTGGAGATGACTCCTTCCCTGAGGATTCCTCCCGAAGCACAAGTTATTTCTTTGGGTGACTATTACCCTGATTTTAGTAGTCTCACTTTCACACTCAGTTTTGACTTTATTTTTAACTAGTTATTTCTCCATAAAATTTATCTCTCTCTTCATCTCTGTCTCTGTTTCTCTTTTCTAATATTTCAAGGGGCTACTGAAACACAAGAAAAGCTGGGGGCATATCCTGAAAGCTCTCTGCTGTTAAGTTTTTGGTATGTTCACACCAATGACCTCCATCCCACACATACACAGCTTCTCAGTGCTTCTAGACACATCCAGGAATATATCTACTTGATCTGCTCCAAATCACATGTACATATTCATACTTTGTGAAAAAATTATAGGGGCCTGATTCAATTCATCTCACATTCATTGGCCACTTACTCTTGCCAGGCACTGAGATAGGCTGAAATACATAAATCCTCTATTTTGATCCTCTCTGGGATTCTTAATCTAGATGAGTGTGCAATCTACAAGTGTCTAAGACTGTATTTTTTTGTTTAGTTTTGTGCATGACTAAGTTATCTAGAATGTAATGATTCATGCCAGATGAGTGGACAATAATTTTAGCTCTTTTACTATTTCCCTTTTATATTTTTTAAGGAGTGGGTAGGTAATAAATAGTTATACTTTTATGGGATATTCCAGTTTTAGGTGTTTTGGGAGGGGGTTTTCTATGTCGGTATTTAAAGAAACCATAAAGGAGGAAGGGTGTAGAGCTTGTTATGTTTCATATGTGGTCTGTTTCTCTGTCCCTCTTCTTACCAAAATTGAAACCAGGCTGTGATGGGGGCCTGGAGGAAAATCAGCAGCAAGAAATTGTCTCTCATTCACAGTGGAAGAGTATGGGATCCTGAAGCCTTTTCCTGGGCTTCTTTTGTGTTCCTGAAGCCATGTGGGCCATGGGAAGCCATGAGGATAGCATAAAATCATACTGTAGCATGTAACCACTGGGAGCCCATGAGAAGGGAAGAAATCACCTGCTTTGGTCCAGCATTTTGCAGAGGAGGCTTGAAGAAATGAAGGAGTTTACCAAGGATCTCACCACTAGGAAGGAGCCATACCAGGTCTAAAACATGGTCTCGACTTTTATGTGATGTCTCTTGATCCATGCTCCATTTCCCAGTTTGGATCTAAGTCTTCCACATTTTTGTTTTTCGACAAAGGGGTGGGTGGTAGGCTGAATAATGCCTCCCCTCCAACACACAAATATGTCCACATCCCATTTCCCAAGCCCTTGGATGTTATTTTATACAGCCAAAGGAACTTTGCAGCCACTAGAAGCTAAACTAAGCAAAAAGATGGATTCTCTCCTAAAGCCTCAAAAAGGGACCACCTCTTCTGACATCTTGGCTTTACTCTAGTGAAACTAATTTTGAACCTCTGATCTCCAGAACTGTGAGAGTATAAATGTGCCTTCTTTTAAGCCATGATATTTGTGGTCATGTGTTATAATAGCAATGGAAACTAGCACAGGGTGGGCACACAAGTCTGGCTTGAACATTACCTAATGGGAAATGGAGCAATTCTGATTTGAACATGTTGGTTAATCTTAACACCAACTTTGTGCTAGATGCTGTGTCATGTACTAGAGATTTAGTGGTAAATACTATCTACCAGAACTCACATTCTAACAGATGAGAGACACATATTAAAAATTTGAATTCTGGGTTGGGCACACTGTCTCATGTCTGTAATTTCAGCACTTTGGGGTGTTGAGGCAGGCAGATCACTTAAGGTCAGGAGTTCAAGACTAGACTAGTCAACATGGTGAAACCCCGTCTCTACTAAAAATACAAAAATTAGCTGTGTGTGGGGGCGCATGCCTGTAGTACAAGCTACTCTGGATGATGAGCAAGGATACTTGCTTGAGCCTAGGAGGTGGGGGTTGCAGTGAGCTGAGATCATACCTCTGGACTCCAGCCTGGGCAACAGAGCAAGACTCCATATCAAAAAATATTTTAAAAATTCAAATAAATTTTATGATTATAATTACTATAAGAAGGAAAGCAGAGTAAAATAGAAAGTTCTAAAACCATGTGCAAGCAACTAACTTTCAACTATTTACAAGCATATTTATCTAATTATAAGATTCACGTCTTTTCAAATTAGAGATTTTTAAGATCAATATGGATTTCCAATTGCTATATGTATATTTAATTAATAATATTTTTTTCTCTAGAAAGCTGTAAACAAAAGGTTAAATGGGAGTGGGGTGGGGTAAGGAAAGGGGAAGAAAGAGGACTCTGGGCAGAAGGAACAGCCTGAATGAAGGCACTGGGCGGGAAGGAGCACGATGCTTTTGTAGGACAGAAAGAAGATGAAGTGCCTACAACACAGGGAGACAAAGTAAATAGTACTAGATAGTCTGGTGACATGGGCAGGTGTCAAAAAATTTCCAACTGCAGAAATTTGATCTATGACTTTGGAGTAATGGAAGACATTGGAAAATTTTAAGCAGGGGAGCAATGCAATCAGTTTTGCATCAAACCATCACTCTAGATGTAGTGTGATGAGTAGACTGGAAGGGGCAGAGCTGATATAAATCAAGACAATTAGGAAGCTATAGCAATAGTTCAGGAGAGAGATGATTGTACTTCAGTCTACAGGGATGCGGGGCAGAGTAAGATTTAAATAGGCATTTAAGAGACTGACTTGACAGTACTTGGAGGTGGGCTGCATACAAAGAAAGGGTGAAGGTAAGGAGAAATTAAAAGCTTTCAAGTTTTTACCCTGAGCATGTGGGTAGGTAGATACGCAGAGCAAGTGAGGTGGGGGAAGATAACACATTCAGACTGGACATAGGAGAGTGTGAACATCCCAATCAAATTCAGACGTCAAAAAGACAGTTGAATACGTGAATCAGTGACTCAGAGAAGATAAAAATATGTGGGTCCACAGCATATAGATTATAATTGAAACTTTAACATTGATAAGACTGTCTAGAGAAAAAGTGTAGAGTGAGAAGAAATCTCTTGTTAAACCTGGGGGAACTCTGAGACTGGACTGTCTGGAAGAGTGGAAAGCCTGTTGATGATCATCGTTACATGTGTATTTAATGACTATTCTCACTGTTTCCGACAATGAGAATTAGAGCTAGAAAGGAGGAAAACTAGGAGCCTGTGACATGTGAACCCTGAAAATCCGAGACAGGTCTCTGTTAATTTAGAAAGCTTATTTTGCCAGGGTTGAGGACACGAGCCCATGACATAGCCTCAGGAAGTCCTGATGACATGTGCCCAAGGTGGTGGGGGCACAGCTTGGTTATATACATTTTAGGGAGACTTGAGACATCAATCAATGTATATAAGAAGTACATTGGTTCATTCTGGAAAGGTGGGACAGCTTGAAGCAAAGACAGGAAGACTGGAAGTGGGGAGGGAGCTTCCAGGTCACAGACAGGTGATACACGAAGAGTTGCATTCTTTTGAGTTTCTGATTAGCCTTTCCAAAGGAGGCAAATCAGGTATGCATCTATCTCAGTGAGAAGAGGGGTGACTTTGAATAGAAAGGGAGGCAGATTTGCTCTAAGCAGTTTCCAGCTTGAGTTTTCCTTAGTGACTTTGGGTGTCCAAGGTACTTTCCTTTCACACATAGAAGCCAAGAAATAAAAGAAATGTAGGCGGAAAAAAGCAGGGGCTGTATCTAATGCTGTGTCTAATGTGAGGCCAAGGAAGGCAAGAAAGGAGAAATGTTCATTGGATTTATGGACATGGAG